GAGTTGGAAAAGCCGTATGGGACTCTGTTCATACCTGCAGTGCAATTAACCATATGTTTTTCTTCTTGAAAGTCTAAGATAATATGATTCATATTAAATTTAAAGTGAAACGGAGGAAGCCTTTGTAATTGCACCAGTGACCGGTTATTAAAAGATAAATCAATGCACCATTAAACTGAAGTTTTGAGGTAGAGGCAATTCATTAAAATACTTCTATCAGCACAGCCCTTTTCCTCTGTCTTTGAAATCCAGCCTGGATAATTAAAGGCCTGTGAAGATGCAGAAACTACCGAAAATTATGAAGTGCAAAACTCATTACAGTTTGATTTTGATTTGTATCACCTTTAACTAACTTGAAGCAACTGTCATGATTTCTTACCACCATCTTCCTGTAACAGAAGTTCCTGGTTGTTGCTAACTGCAGAGGTAAGGACGCAGGGGACCAGGAGCAGTCGGTCATATATAAATGGAGCTCAAGGAAGCTGAAATTCATTCACTATCAGACTCTGAACACACACAGCGCACGTGACTGGGAGGCTTTCAACATTCAGGACGAAACTTTCCTCGCCGTCGCCAATCATAGGCAAGGTATCAGAACAGCTCAATGCGTGTCTGTCATCTCATGTGGCTCTGTTGTTGTCCTGTGTAACTCCACAGCTTTTATCTGTTGAACAATAGCGGGAGGAAGTTCATTTATACGATTTCTAAAAGAAGGTTAAAATTGAATTCCATTCGGATCTCATACAAATCTATGGTCTTTGAGGCACACAATCTGAACAAAAAGACCACCAAGGAAATCTTTTTAAGGCTAAAAGGTCTCCTTCACTTTGATTCTGCATTTCATTTCTATATGCTTATGAGTGTGTGTTCATCCGTTCGTGTGAAGTTCTTACGTGTGCCTCTGGCATTGATCAAAGCGTAAACACAGGCATAAAAGTAACCTTTCATAGCACTTTATGACCATATAGGCCCCATCTATACACCTGCATTTTTTTGGAATACATCCAAACTGAGCCATGCCAGTCCATGTGGATTTCTGTGTTACAATGGGCTATATTACTGAATAACTGTTTTAAAGTTTTATGTATGTTTTGTTGTTGTTGTTTTTTTTTTGTCCAAAGGGGAGAGAAACCATAATATTAACAGTGTAATCTACAAGTGGGACCCAGTTACCCAGTATTTTGAGGTCAATCAGACAATCCCGACCGCCGGTGCTTATGATTGGGAGTTTTTCTCCATCGGCCCATATTACTTCCTCGTAGTCGCAAATACTTTCAATGGAAGATCAACAGTCATTGATTCTACAATCTATATCTGGCTGGGACAGATGTTTCAGCCTTATCAGTCCATTACAGTGAGTGAAATTATGTTATTGTATCTGCTCTCATCATGATCATGATCACAATTTTAAATTCAGCTCTGGCATCACATAAATAAATTACATTTAATAGATTAAAATATACTATTTTACAATACTATTTCACATTATATTACTGTTTTTTACTATGTTTTTGATCAAATAAATGCAGCCTTCATGGTGAGTGTAAGAGACTTAAAAAAAACGTTTTTAATCTTATTGTCCCCAAACTTTTAGTGTATGTGTGGGACATGATTAGCATGGCTACAAATATTTCTGGGGTTTGCCATTTGATTCTCTCATTGTCCTTTCAGACATTTGGGGCTATAGACTGGGAGATGTTCCAGATTGAAAACAGGGTGTTCCTGGCTGTAGCCAACAGTCAGATGCTAACGGAAGATGGCAAGATTCAGTACTCCATCAACTCCACCATCTATGAGCTCAGCATGGCATCTCAGACGTTCATCAAGTTTCAGGATATGGAAACGAACAGGTGAATTGTGAACTGGCCTTCGTAAGAAACTTTCTAGCTGTCACATTTTTATATAAGGGACACTTTTTTTGTCTGGATCTTTCAGTGCTTTGGACTGGGAGTATTTCACTGTGGGAGATGATAAGTTCCTGGTGGTCGCCAACTCCTATGATGGAACCTCATACTCCCTTAACAGTGTTATATACAGGTACAGCTTTCATCTAGGCTAGTATACATTAAAATAACGGAGTGTCCATTTACACCAAGTGCAAAAAGTCCGCCTTGTTGGCAAAGGCTATTTACAGTAACTCCATCCACCATTGTCTGATTTCTGTCGCAGACCGGTCAGTTTATGACATCCCAGTACATCAGGCGCTAATGCTTCTCATTTACTTTGAATGGGTGACATCAAGCATTGCCGAACTAAATTGTGGGTTCTGCTGTGTCATGTTACTGGCGATGCTTGCAGCAGAAGTTGAAAATGTTCAACTTTTCAAGCGCCAACGCAGGCGTTAGCCAATCAGATTATGCATTAGCTTTATGCAAATACCCTAGCGTAGACGCTAGCCAATTGCGTTCATGTAACACCGGAATGGAATGTGATTGGCTGTTGTCACTATGAGGGTTGCATCAGCACAAAGCTTCAAAGATGCCCTCCGTCAAACATTTACACCTCTATGGTTTACACCTACGACCCGTGAGAATCTAGCGTAAAGTGAAATGGGTTATCAAACAAGAGAAAATGTAGGGCGGGGTTTTGATTTTGACCATCGGGAATTTATTGGATGGTTGTGGTTTTGGTACTGCTGTGATGTCCCGTGAAGTGACAAGTTGTCTCGCCTTTGCGCCAGTAGACACGTCATCAGAGAGGAGAAGATACTATATAGTTAATAATGCAATACAAAATATAATCGTCATAAGAGTAAATTGATGATCTGACAATGCATTGCATTCTTAAAAATGTTTTAATAACTTCATAAATGTGCATTTTGCAGGTGGCAGGGTTATGAGGGCTTTGTCCCTGTGCACAGACTCCGCACCAATGGCTGCAGAGACTGGGAATTTTTTAACACAACCGATGGCTCCTACCTCATCTACTCCAGTGCTAGAGCTGCTCTCTCTAAAGTCCTTAAATTAAGGACCATATAGTGACACTGGACATATGGACTGTATATGGGACAGATCTGCTCGGAGGGAGACTAGTTGACGAACTCATTAACTGGAAAACAAATGAACCCCTAAAATTAGATATTCTTCTATACAAAACTTGTATATCAAAAATCAAAATCCTTGAAACCCGCTGAAGGTTGAATCTCCACACTAACACTCAATTCAGTCCACTGACCTCCTGAATGACAACAGCACAACAAGATGTTCCTAATATTTATGAAGACTCAAACCTGCACTTACTTGCACAGAATTCGTCAACATGCTTTTTTATGATTAAAATGTCATTATGTCCTGTTATGCATCATACTCTGCATATGAAGGCAGCTAACTATTCTATACCACAATTTATGAATGACTGGAAAAAATAGCTTTTATCAAGACACTATTTAACTGTACCGTACAATGTTTTTTTTAGAAGGCCTTTGCATGAAATTGAAGTATGTTCAAGTATATGCATTTAATAAATAAAATCTTCATAATATTTATAATAAGATAATGACGAATAAACAGATTATTTTCTTTTTATATTACAACTACGACTTATTTTAGAACTCAATTCTGTTGTTGGTCATCTTAAAAACAATGTTTTATCTGATTTGTTTTGATTCTCTGTCATAATTATAAACCAGCTGTGCCATATAAGCTATTGAATTAATATTAGTGACTAGTGATTATTAATCATTTACTGTTGTTCCAGCACAGCATCATTTTGTTTAAATGAAACATTCGCCTTTTGAGTGAACTGCAGGCTATATTCATCTTGTCTTGGAAGCAAAGGCTGAAGGGGAAATGATTGAATAAAAATATTGTCTTGTGTTATAATACATACAGTGATAGATTACACTACATGTGTTTATTTAATGTGTTCTTGGACATTTCTGAGTAGAAAATCTTTAAATAAAAGATGTTTAAATCTACAATAATGTTAGGGGATGACATACATTACCTATGCTATGTCACAAAAATGGAGAGGCTTCTCACTGCAGAGGCAGTGGGTGGAGCAAGACATGCAGCTCCCCCTCTCTGAATGTAATCTGGGTGTAATGGGTGGAGCTAATCCTAACCTTACCCTGCTGGACCATGTCAAGCTTCACCCATGACGTTCAGAGAACGGGAGTTTGACGTCATTGGCTTCAAAAATTCAATTGTGCATCGTATAGGCGCCATCTATTGGATCTTATGTGGTATGACAACACTGGACTGGGTGGAAAGCAGCGAATTCAGGTAAATTAGATCACTTTTGAGATTAACTTAAAAAAGTTGCCCAGTTAACCTGCATTTAATAGTGGATTTTGTTATTGTTGTTGCGCAGTAGGAGTTTAATCTATGGTTTCATAATCAGTACAGTTGTCATAATCTGTATGTGCTACATACATACATTTGTGTATTGCTTTCTTAAGGCAGGGTTAGAAGGTTAGGGTTGCAGAGAAGAAATTATACATTATTCTCAAGCGCACTTTTACTTGCCAAATGTAACGTTAGCTACTGTGCTGTGTTGGCTTCAAACTAAACAAAACAAAGGCAACACAACTTGCATTTTTAAATACGATTTTAAAAAAGTGTTTATTTGTTCATCTCATCTCAAAACAAAGTCAAGTGAAGAAAATCACGGAAATACAATTTAAACTCTTTGCTATGCGGCAGTATTTCCCATTCATATATTTGCGAGTGTAGTGAATTTGGGAAGAGGAATCACTATCAGCGCCGTCCAATCGCGGTCTTGCACAAGATAACCGCCATTATTTATCGACCAATCAGCTCTTTGCTTACTGAGTAGTAAAAAATCTTTCTATCGCTTTCTAGAAGAAAAACAGCAAATAGTCTACGTATTTGGTTAACCTTGGCACTAAATTCCTATGTAATCAAAATTAATTTATAAAAGTATGTTTGTGTACGTCTACTATAAACGTATAAATGTTGTACATGCTATTTCAAAAAGCATTTATCCATGAGTAGTATTTTTGACGCCCTCTTGCGGATGTTGGTTGGGAGTGGAAACGCTAGCTAGTTTCTAAATAAAGCCTCTACGACCGAGACAGGCGTTCATTAACAGAGGTCCGATTTTTGTGTGTGTTTGAGCGCCCTGTTTGTATTGTGTTATCTGCAATTTCTCACATAGTGTTACAATTGCAGCGTAATATATATTAAACAACAATGAGTGACGCTGAGAAGGAATTCGTGAAGCGGGTACGTAGTGTTTTTTTTAACCGTTTTCTCTTTTTGCACGCGCCATGTTTCTTCTAGAAATGGCCTCCATGTTGTATGTTAGCCAGGCAGACAGGCTTCATTCATTTTTAATTTTATTTGAAAAAACTGATTATATAGCCTACAAATGCAATGACTCTATACCTTTACTCCTTAACATTTATTAAAAAAACCTCTGTAAAATGACGTAGCTACACCTAACATGGATTTGTACCGAAATCCAAGTAACGTTATCCAGTTAACGTTAGCCAGCCTCAATGCTAGCAGACAGACAACGTGCTGCTTTCATACTAGAAATGCATTTATCTGTTTTTCAGTGTTCGCTTTTCTCTAGTAAGCAAAATGTTTTACAGTCCCTAATAAGTGTTGTTTTCTCATTGCATGTTTAATTAAACAGATATAATTTGTATGATTAATAATCTTATGCTAATACTTGAGAGAAGGTCATCCTGAGCCTTAAAGCAAAAAACAACAACAAAAAAAACTAAGTTAATTTTAAATTCACATGCATTTTTTTAACAGTAGCCAGCAAGCTTGAAATGTATATTGTAATTTTACATTTTCTTGTAATATTACAAGAAATGCAAATATGTACATTTTGTTTTTGCTTGAATAAGGCTCAAGATGCATCTGAATGAATCTAATTGTTTGTCATAATGGAAATTAAAGCTCACTTTACATTTCTATTGGTTCATCTGTAATGTTTTTCCCACACTAACATTAATAAATCAATAGGATTCTTGGTTGTAATGTCCAGTGTTTACACATTCTTCATCCTTTTCTTTTTTGTTAAGGTTAAGGTTGGAAGAAGAGAAATCTGGACGAAGTCAAATGTCAAGTTGTTAATGCGAATAATTTGAAGCTGAATTGTCAGTGCATGCTAATATTGCGGAGCAAAAGAAGTTCCCATATAGCATTTATGGGCAGTGAGAGAAATGGGGGAAGAGGAATGAAGTCAGAAATGAAATTGAAACTGAAGAAAGAAGAAAAGATGTGTAATGAAGTTAAGATCAGAAGTTATCTGGGATAAGATCGCAGCGCTAAGTAACTCTTAGTATGTTTGTCCCATGCGTGCATGCATAAATATTCTGTTCATTTTTTTTATTGCAGTAATAATTATTGTCCTTTAGCATGAGAGATTTACACATAGTTATTTTCATACATAATTTGATGTATTACATGTCAAACTGCAAATTCTTTAATTGTAAGTGTATTAAAGTCAATTGTTTTTACTCTAGTTCATATGCCTGCGGTGAAAAGGCCATCATCGCTGCATATTATCCTAGTCTAGATTGGTCTCAAAATTATTTCTATATATATATATATACACAAAATTATTAGTTTAACATTCTTAGTATGACCATGTTCTCTGGCTCTTAACTTGGTTTTGATGTGGTTGGTTTAGGAGTCCCGTTCGGCCTCTAGGAGCGCAAGTCCTAGAGGATCTGCCAAGTCGGCCAGCCACTCACCGGATCGCTCACCTGCTCAGTCAAAAGAGGGGTCCCACCACACTCGCTCCAAGTCTCGTTCTCGCTCCAGGTCCAAGACTCGGTGAGTATTTCTTGTCTTTTGAGGAATGCTGTATTCTATTGGTAGGTCAAACAACCTGCATGGTAGAGAAATCTTTATTTGAATCGATCATACAAGGAAAGCATTGTTTTACAATAAAAAAGCATTAACATGAGTAACAAGTATTTCCCGTGAATTAAAAGGAAAAATGGCATAATTAGAATAACATAAAAAAGGGTAAGTAATGTATATAAAAATTGTAGAATAATTTATTAGCCCTCTGCTGTTTTTTTTTTTCTTCAGAAAGGTATGACACTTGGTTTCTATTGTGGCACTTGCTATGTGAATGCCAAGAAAATTGTGGACATGATTTGATTTTTTTTTTTTTTCCTTCTTTAAAGTCACTTTTACTCCTCGCAGTCAAAAATGGCTTGCATATAAATGTGAAAACAATCTAATTAAAAAAACCCATATCAACTAATTGCAATGTTACAATGATTATGATCCATTTGATTCCACAATTATAAATATTAATTGGTATTTGCGGTGTGCAAGAGTACTTGGATATGAAAGTGAAAATTGATCATGAAAAGGATCACTGTGAAATTTTTTTCTTTTCTTCTGATTTTCTTATTGTGGCATTTTGAGCTGTACCTGAGGTCTGATTGGGTAGCGTTAGACAGCGTGCCATCCAGACCGGTGAAATAGTAAATTTGATGGTTTTGATGCTTGGAATCACCTGATGAATTAGATGAAAATAGTTAAGTGCAGTTTATGGCACATTGGCTCTGCACATGTATACGGTCATAATGAGAACACTAAATAGAATGTTGTGAATTATGCTTTAATAATAATTCATTACATTTTTATAGTGCTTTTCTCTGCACTCAAAGCACTTTACTTAGAAGGGGGAATCTCCTCAACTAACACCAGTGTGCAGCATTCTCCTGGATGATGCGACGGCAGGGATTTTTTATGTTTTTTTGTCACCACAGAGAGTCAGGACCTCGGTTTAAAGTCTCATCCGAACAGTGCTTTTTGACAGTATAGTGTCCCCTTCCACTATACGGGGGTGTTAGGGCTTACACAGACCACATGGTGAGCACCTCCTGCTGGTACACCTCTTCTGGTAGCAACCTGGTTTTCCCAGGAGGTCTCCCATCCAAGTACTAACCAGGCTCAGCCCTGCTTATCTTCAGTGAGCAACCAGTCTTGGGCTACAGGATGATATGGCTGCTGGCTTTAGATGCCCGTGTTTCACTGGAAGAGCACATACACAACAGGAGTAACAGATTCTGGCTAGTAGCATGTAACTTGCATTTTGCCCTTTTTTGCTGATACCAGTTGTGAATGTATCTGATTAATCTCATAGGACATGTCATAGAATGAATGTTCATTCACCCTTCATCTTCATGCATGCAGCTATCTATTTTAGATGTTTCTTTTTCGAAAAACTGATACATTGATAATGCAGCAGTGTTATTTTTCTAGTCATCTTTTATTTTCATATTTTGATAGACATATGTTAATGTCATTCTTTGTCAACATTAATTAAAATACTTAAAAATTAAAATATTATCATGATGCAAGCAACCTGCCCACGACTCGCGAGTACTCGTTTTTTGAGACCAATTAGTGCTCGGAAATTGAAAATGAATAAAAATGCCCATGCATATTGGTTTAATATAAGTATTAAAATAAAAAATTGTATTGATCAAAAATATATTACGTTGATTTTACTGAAAAAAAAAAATTAAGGTGTTCAGCCACTTCGACTGGAAGGATTACGAGTGTGACTTGTTAATGATGAGCATCAGAGGGTTAAAAAAAAGTAATAAAAGCAATTATTTATTTTACTTTTTTTTTTGTGTGAGGGTGCAGTATTCCTGCTTTTGATTTTGTTCCAGAATTGTATATCATTTAAAACTGTTGAAATGGCCGTGCGACTCATCTGCAACTGGAATTCACAGTACACTGTCACACCTGGTGCTTTCCAGTTACAAGTTGAAACGATGTTTGGGCCAGATTAAAAAAAAAAAAAATCCCTCACCCTGGATTGATTTTAAGCACTCTGCAGTTGATCATTTCACATGTGTTGGTAGCAACTTGATGTATAATGAAATTGAAGCTGGAGGTTCTGGTCTGTCTAAAGAGTTTTAGACGACTTATCAGTTGGTAACTTGATTGACTGCATGTCTGTTGCTTTTTTCACTCTACTCCATCTTTACGCAGGTCTCGTTCCCATCGTAGCTCTCGCAGACATTACAGTCGTTCCCGTTCACGCTCCCATTCTCGCCGGAGACGTTCACGCAGCCGTTCATACAGCAGTGAATACCAACGCCGCCGCAGTAGTCACAGTCACTCTCCCATGTCCAACCGTAGGCGACATGTTGGTGACCGGGTGAGACAAAGAGTCAGTTCCATACGTGCCATTTTATTTATTTAACAAATTGACATGATGTTTTTGTACTATTCTAATCTGTAATGTTTTCTTCTCCTTTAGGCAAACCCAGACCCAAACTGCTGCCTGGGAGTTTTTGGCCTGAGCCTGTACACCACAGAGAGAGACCTGAGGGAGGTCTTCTCCAAGTATGGCCCTCTGAGTGATGTCTCCATCGTGTATGACCAGCAGTCTCGGCGCTCCAGGGGTTTTGCTTTCGTTTACTTTGAGAACAGAGAAGATTCCAAAGAGGTGAACTCTCCAGTTGAATGGATTGGATGGATTTACTTAAAGTGAAAGGCTGTTTTGTTTATACAAGAAATTCCACCATTACTGAAATTGCAAATTGACAATTTTATGCAGGTTTTTCCAAATTTTTTATACAGAAGGTTAAGTTAGTTGTAATTTCCTGTGTATTGATTCTAGTATGTTGCATATTTGACAATACTTTGGTTTGTCAGTAGTGAAGTTGCATTATGCAGTTTATTTTATTGAAGTACAGTGCAGAATGGACTATTTCCTCCAGCTATTTTATGGCCATCAATATAGACACCTGGAATTAATGGATTTAAGCAGAAGGAATATTGAATGCTCAGTATGGGTTATTCTGGTCTGTTTTGGTTCTAGGCTAAAGAGCGTGCAAATGGTATGGAACTAGACGGCCGAAGAATTCGAGTCGACTATTCTATTACAAAGAGGCCTCACACACCTACTCCTGGAATATATATGGGCAGACCAACATAGTGAGTCTGATTTCAGTTCTGTGTTTCTGATTCCTTCATGTCTGTTTAATCTCACTCTAGTCAAATGATTCATCTTAATATTGTAAATATGGGGTGCAAAACTCAGCTCCTGGAGTTGAAGATAAACTCTGCAGGACTGTGACCTCCGGGAACTTAGTTTTGCACCACTGTTTTAGATGATAAACTCTGATTGTTTTGAATATCAATTGATCTCTCTCTCTCTCTCATGGTAAAAAGATTTAATCAATGTTGAGCCCAAATCATTTTTTTTTTCTTCATGTGCAGTGGCGGAGGCCCAAGTGTAAGTCGCCGCCGTGATTCCTATGATCGAGGCTACGACCGTGGATATGACCGTTATGATGACCGTGACTACTACAACAACAACAACAACAACAGGTCATACAGGTGATCCCCTACTTTTCAGCTTTCTGTGTGATGTGTTTGCAGTGACCATTCTTCAACACTGAGTTTTCCTCTCTGCTGGCCCAGTAGCTCAGATTTGTGCTTACCCGGCTGATATTGTCACTTGTTTCTAGGGGTGTAACAGTACACAAAAATCACGGTTCGGTACGTACCGGTTTTAAAGTCACAGTTTGGTACATTTTTGATACAGCAGAAAGAAAGAAATGCCAGAGAAATGTCCTATTTGTTAAAAGAAAAAAATATTTTTAAATAAGTTTGAGTTTTCCTACATCTTAAAACTTTCAGGTTTATAAATGGGAGTCATCTTTGAAGGATGAACAAATAATGTGTTGGTCATCACATTTAAAATAACATTTAAATATATATTTATTTATATACTGTTTGAGTTTTGAAGTGCTGGAAAAAGAAAGCGTTTCACTATTCCAGCCAAACTGGTTACAGTGTTACTATATTAAATCCATGGTGAATGTTGCTAGTTTGTGGACGTTAAGTATTACTAGTTAATTCACGGCACAATGTTTCTCCTGGTTTCCGCATCAGAGCTGTTTGATCTAATAGACCATTTCACAAGATGTAAACAACACTGGTCCAGAAGCACTTCCTGTTTCAGTTTGTAACTGTTTTCTTTATTTCACATGTAAAGAAAACATCTTAAAGATGTTTGTTTAACTTTTTGATTCAGTTTTACATGTTCTGTTGGTTGTATTTTATCCCAGCTTTTATGTAGTGTTAAAAAACTGAAACAGGAAGTGCTTCTGGACCAGTGTTGTTTACATCTTGTGAAATGGTCTATAGAGATCTACGGTTAATTAGGGAGAAATGTGAAATGCTTCTCACTAGATCTCGCAGCGATGTTATACGCTGATTTCATGCAGCCGTCATTTTAAAATGGATCCGGTGGGAAGAAAACCGGAAGCGTCGCTTTAAATCATAGGAGAGTCGCGAATGCAATGGCAAATTGTTGTTTAATGTAAAAATTTGTTATTCTAAAAATGTACATGCAATTCTTGCATAGTTTACACTACAGTGAAATTTATAAATGCATTTTTTTAATATATATTCAGAACATTAAAAAAAGAACGGAACGAACTATCTACATATCCCATATTGGATATTAACATCTAACAGTTTAAATCGCGGCAGCAGCTTCAGGTTGGTCGTCCAAGAGATTGTTGTCTATCTGTACTTCCGGGATTCTTCTCACCGGAGCCTCGCTTTCGATTTCAAAATGGCAGCTGCGTGAAATCAGCGTATTACTTCAGTGGTGAATTCAAATGTTTTCTTTACTGGATCTGGCACTGAGTAGTAACAGTGTCGCTGGATCGAGATCGTCTCACGCTGCACAGATGTTGCTGGTCCGAACTGATAAACGATCCGTGAAGCACATAATGAGTATCGCAGTTTCGTTCCGCTTTCATTACGCTTGCCATTTGGGGTTGCGCAACATTGCGGCCATGCCAGCATGAATTTTGTCGGTAGGAAAATTGGGTTTGGATTTTTTTTTTGTGTAATGGAAATCATTATTTTTTTTAATGGTTTATTATGTTGCAGTTTGAATGTCACCTCTTTGTTATGAGCTGTAAATGCTGGTGTTTTCATTAAATCCCAGCTTTCTGTTCACAGGAGAAGATCCCCTTCTCCCTACTACAGCCGAGGACCATACAGGTCACGATCACGCTCTCGTTCCTACTCTCCTCGTAAGTACTGCACAAAACCAATCACGATAAACTTGAATGATACTGTAGACCTTTGTATTGTTTACCTGGCTTAATGGTTTGAGAGTGTGTAATCTCAAAACAGTGTAAGTTCTCTAGTGATTTGTGTACGCATGTGAAAGCAAACAAATCCTTTATATTTTTTTTTTACAGGTCATTACTGAAGTGAAGTTCAACGCTTTTCACCCTTCCTGAAGACTATGATTACAATGCCATTGTTGACGTAGATGTTTATTTCTGGTGGCATGAGTTTGGATGTACTTTAAACTCAATCCCTTCGATTTCTTGCCTAAAGGTTTCATGTGTCTTTGGCCGGTCTGGATGTTTCAGTAGTTGGATGAATATTTTTGCAGTGTTTTTTTTTTCCATTTCTGATATGATGCAGAATTTGTTTATTTTATAATATGATAGTGTCTGACTTACACCTCATTTGTTTTATGCATTTTAAGCTTAGCGGTGGTCTTGCAATAAAATGCTTTATACCCACCTGCTGTGTGAGTTTATGCTTGAATCATTCAAAACATGAAATATGGATGAGTTTATACCTAAATGATTGAATTTAAATTGAGAAAAGCTACAAGCCATTGTCTTGGAGTTCAGAATCAGAAAAGGGAGGTGATTTCATTGTGGAGTTATGAACAGCGTTTTGTTGTAATGCATACAAATATTCTCTTGAGGCATTTGCCTTAAACTGTTGAGAAATTAATAGATTTATTGAATAGGAACACTAGCACCAGTTCCTTAAAGAGCTCTGTTCCAATTTAAGTCTAGTTACCTCCGAGAATATTGTTAATAATAGTATCAACTGAAATATTTCTCCAGCATGTGTAAAAAATGTAGTTTGGAGAACTCATGGATGTAGCATTAATTTGGACCCGGTGTGGGTGTCTGCATTAGCTGACCAATCTGGGGTTCCTTTCCTTTACCGTACCTGGCTGTTGAAGGGGATTTGAATTATCTTTCTAAAGATCTGGAATCTGTGTCACTAGGCACAACAAACTCAGTAACTGTTGTCAATTTGGTTCTATGTTAGAGTATTATGGTAGTAAAGATAAGGACATTTGCTATATGGCACTACTGCATTTGGACAATTATATTGTCGCAGGGTCTGATTTGGAGATCTAAGTGCTGAATGAAACACTGATCGCTGATCTATGGACATAGAAATCAGCATAAATATACAGGGCTAACAAGAACACACGGGTATGGCATGATAAAAAGATTTTGCTCAAACATTATCATTTCGGATAGGCGTTTACCACAGCCTACATATGTGGAATCAATCCATTGCTTTCATATATAAAGAGCATGAACCTCCGAAAACATAATTCCATAAGGTTTTTTCACATTCCTGTTTCTTTTCCATTGACGTGGGCGTTCCCATTTTCCAGCTGCTATTCTCTTTGGAGTCTGAGTTTACAGCCCTAATTATTAATCGTAGATTAAATTTATAATCAACCTCGAAAGGTGTTAAGCAATATAAAACAAACGAGTAATTCTCCCAAGGGACCCAGGAACGACCATCCATCCACAACAACCTAAAGATGTCAATCAAGCTGTCAGTCACGACTGTAAATGTAAGTAGACTCGGAATTATTGAAATACACGTAGGCTACATCCGTTTATTAACACAAGCTTAATGGCTGTAGATTACTTGTCACTAGTGACTTGAACAGACATTCTGTAAGTGGATTTAAATAAACTAAACCCCCTGTGTTGCTCACGAGTCTCATCATTATGCCGTATCCAATGATTTATGCTGGCAAATTGAAGTCCATAAACACCTCAAAAGTAATTTTGTGATATTTAAGAGCGGTTTTATTTAGAGGCGGCGCTTGTTGCCAACGGGGTAACGTCGCAACGACACTTTTTTTCAATCCCAGTAAAAGAGTTTGAGCAGGAACATAGTTGTGTATATGTAGCGGGGGGTCCGGCTGCATCTGGGGGGTGACTGCTGATTTTCAGCACATTTATTTTTTTATTTTATTTTTTTCTATTTTATTTTATCTTAGTTTTCCTTACTTCGAGCAATCCATTGCACGCGCGCACACGCCGATATATTTGGACGTTAATATTTTCTTATAGACCATGAACAAACTCTATGTGGGGAATCTGAGTCCTTCGGTGACCGTGGAGGACCTGAAGCAGCTCTTCGGCGAGAGGAAGCTACCCGTGACCGATCAGGTCCTGCTCAAATCCGGCTATGCCTTCGTGGATTTCCCCGACCAGAACTGGGCGATTAAAGCCATCGAGACTCTGTCCGGTAAGTTCGTTTTTCACATCGCGGAAAGTCACGGGTATGTTCATATATATCTGGGAGTGACACCGTAAAATACTTTCTTAGAAGAGAAAAGAAAAAGTATCGCTCGCGCATCAGCCGCGCGCTGCTCCAGTTCTTCACGCGAGCGGACCAGTGCGCGAATGAACGCCCGCGAGCTCAATCACACTCGCGCGCGCTTCTAATAAGCGATACAAGTTGGATTTATGATATAATTCTTCAAAATGCACGCTCGTTTCGACAAGACGGGGTACTAAACGCGGGCTATTTCTCAGCCGTCGGCCCACAGGAATGTATCGGATGGGTCTGATGCTCGGGTGGAAGGCATAATTATTTTTCAGTTATTTTTTGTCTTGATTTTATTGAAAAGAAGCGAGCGAACTGAGCGAGGAGAAGGCGTCACATGCATGTTCCTATGGTGTCCAGGTATGTTTTTACGAGGTGTCTTGAAGGTGGGTGATGGGGGTCTGGAGGAAAGTGCTAATAAACAGGTAGCTGGGGGGACGGAGGTGAGATGCCAATTTTTGTGCTGCGCCAGGCCACTAACAGATGCACAACACCTCTAACGTTATATTCTCTTTGCACGCTCGCGAGTCTTTGTGAATGCAACAGAAAAGTAGGCTACACATTGTAATGAGTACAGCTGTATATGATTACACACATCCAAACCCACTTGAAGAAACAGGACAAATTTAGGCAGATAAGTCTTATCCTTAAATCTCCCATTCTTCAAACTCCCCTCTTTGCTTGTATGTGGTTAGTGGGAGTGGAAAGCATGGCTGCCCATTCTTATCGTATCGGCTCAAGCATTTCGCATAATATCATCAGGCATTTTAGGAAATGTGGTTAACATTACACCTTACATGTAGACATGATAAGACCCACTAACGTCCCCGACGTACATTAATAAGCACGTGCACGTGTGATTGTATCCCACGTATTTACGTTTCACGCACGGTTGTTTGTTTTACAGAAATAGCCTTACAAAAAAGCTGAAATAAATCAGCTGTGTCGATAATACACTGAATGATTGTAATTGTGATCATCTGTTCTTTTTTTTCCTCGCAGGGAAAGTTGAATTACATGGGAAAGTGATCGAAGTCGACTACTCAGTTCCTAAAAAACTAAGGTAATAAATTGTCTTTATTTTCTTTTGCAATGCAAAGCATAAAGTGTACTGTATTAGGAGGTTGGTTGTGAAGCTGTGATGTGTAGGGCGAAATTTGAATTTAATTTGAGATGTTTTTGTATGCTATATGTTCTCAAGTAATTTATTATTTTCTTGGCTGTTTATCTTATTGGCAGGGTTTGAGCTTTTGATTATTTTGCATTCAATTTTATGCAATGTTGCTATCACACTTGACTGAAAATACGCTGTCTTTAAGTGATCCGTAAAGCACTATCTGAATGTATGTCAAGGAATACTGATATTGGGTGTTTCTTTGCGTTATTTAGCACCTACTGCTATCATTTTCCCCTCACAAAAAGCTTAAACACACCGTTTAGGCTATGTGCAATATATTCAGGTGTGAATGCAAACATGGCTATAAAGTTATAACCAACTCATAACTGAAATCAGAAATTACGCCCTTTTTTGATGCGTGAATTGTAGAGCAAGATCATTGTGCATGACCTCATGGCGCGTGTTTAGGCCTTTCAGTGGCCCACGTGATTTCCCCTATAGGCCCTGCGTGTGTGTTCCACGGGAGGGCGGCATAGAAATGGTTAGAGAACAGCCCCATAACCTTGAGATTTTAAGGGTTTACGTAAAACTGCATGCCTATACATACACAGACCTAAAGTTTACATCAAGTGCACGCTTGTTGCTGCGTTTTCTCGTCAGACAAGTCGTCAAATCGAAAATTAAGTATTGTTTTAAAGGTGTGAGGGAGTTATTTCGTAAACCACAATCATACTGGTATCTGGCGCCTCATAGGGTCGCATGTAAACTCGGGGTGTGTGTTGCATAAAGTGCGCAGTCAAGATGGCCATGTCTTTGATTTGGAAGAGTCGGCCATGCTGCTAGACTCAACCTAACATGTCTGAAAACAACATGCACGAGCAGAACGCTTGTGTGTGTGCGTGCGTGAAGCTCGTTCTGGAACGTTTCACGCCGTTCTAGAGTGCTTCTAGAATCCGAGGCGTAATCTGAAGCAAACTGGCGGGGCTCAAGTTACATATGAGCGATATCTGGATATATTTATGTCGAGATATAATCCTCATACATAAGGCGCGTATGCGTTTTATATGTTAGGAATGGTTTATTAGTCTCCCATGCCCAGTTATTGTAGGCACATAACTTACGTTTGTTGCTGCTGTTGTGACTCTTTGTTTTCACTTGGATACAGTGTAATAATGAGATGTGTGATATCAATATTTCACTGAAAAATCGAAACATGCAGTAAAATTTGTGCTTATTGACACAGATGTTGTTTTAATATACATAATTTTTCATATTTTGGTAAACATTATTATTAATTTATTAATCAGATTTTTCATACCTTGACTTGTTTACAGAATTGTTGGCTTTAGTTATAGCCTACTAGTTTTGTTGTTTTGCAATTCTTTTACATTGGGATGCTTTTTTTTCTGGAAGATTTTCCAAAAAAGATATACAATAATTTTGTTGTTTACTAAACTGTTGTCTCTTAGAAGAGACGAAAATGAGTCAAAAAATCAAAGTCTAAATTAGCCTAAATAAATTAATATTTTAATTGGATTTGTTTGTTATGGTATATTGCAATGGCTGAACAGACTTTACAATTTACAGAAAAAAAAATGAAAGAAAGCATGCTTTTTACAGGGTTGAATTCTTTGTGAAATATTTTAATTAGTTAGATTATGTCTGTTTTTTTAAATACATTATATTACATGTATGTGCAATTTAATATAGCAACAACAATGTTACAATATTATCAAATAGCATATGATGAAATATATAGACAAATTTCTTTAAGTGAGTATGTGTTTTTGCCATAATGCCATATTGATCTCGTTACTAACTATTGTTTGATTGTATACCAGTGATCCACTGTTTTCAGTGGCCCTTTTATTTTTTCACAAATCAAGCTGTTAAACAAGTCAAACCAGGATTTTAATCATTTTACCTAAATGTTGAGTCAGCAGCAGTCTTAAAAGAAGTTCTAAACATTATATATCATTTTAAGAATTTAATCTAACAAATTAGGTTTGTGATATTTTCTCAGTTTGTTGTTCTAACTTGAATAATCAGAATGAGAATTTGTAAGATAATTATTTAAAATGCTATTTTTTGTGAATTGGTTTTGGATGTCTATTTAGATCAGAAATGTTCCATTTTTATTTTTCTGTGTATTTTGTGAAAGATCTATTGCAGTGGTTTTATTGGTTTAAAAATCTTTTGGAATAGCAGCTGTGCTTTCATTGATGTATGTTACTTTATGATTGTTAAAGTTGTTGCTTGCAATAAGCAGTGATTTGCTGAGCAGCCTGTGCTCCTTTCAGGATTCTCCCTGTTTTCCTGTGATGTTTTATTTTGAAGTGGAGTCCTGTTATTTGCAGTAAGGGAGTAGAAGAATGAGAGAGACTTGCATGTATTCATTAGATAACATTTAATGTTGGAAAAAGTTAAAATGTTCCTCCAGGACTAATAAAATATTGTGTCATTTGAATCTGTTTTAAATGCCACATTTTACAGTGCATTGATAATGTTTTAAAATGATCTAAAATGTGTCCAAAATATAAAAATTCACATCAGTGTGCTCACAGTTTAAATATGAATTAATAGCTTGTTTTATGGCTGTGCAATTTACTAGATAGATAACAGTATAATTAACCAGATAACTTTAATTCATGCCCTTGTTATTGAAGTGTCTGTTTTTGTGAATTTATTAAACAATCTGGGTTCTCAACCACCAGGGAAGGTTTAGACATATTTCCTATTTTCATTTGTCATATCTTGATGCTGTGCTTGTGTGGTGGCAAGTCTGATATTTTAATTATCTAGTGTGAATGATTCATTTTTTTATTGATCTGATAAAATGGTTGTTATTTAGCCAAATGACTTCAAATCTTGCAGTACAAACATTCATATTTAAATTCTATTGTATTATTTATTTAACAGACACAAATTGATTATAGAAAATATGGTTAAATAAAAAATACTAATGCATTTTATTTGTTTTTTAATGGTTTTTAAATTGAGTGAAATTGTTGCTTTATTATACTGTTTCTCTGTAAGTTTTCCATGATTATAGTTCTTACAATCAAATAATTTGTTCTGCAAGTATTTTTAATCTGTTGATCATGATTTTATTGGCTTGATTGGTAGTTTAAATTAAAACTTGTTACCTCTTATTCTTTAATTCCCAATAAACCCTGCTCATCTGTTTTCAGTTTCATTTTTTAGTTATCTCACATTTATCTCAGAATGTTTGTAAAAGGATAGACTGTAGATTTTAGGGCTATATCTGGATGGCTAAAAATGATCCACCCAGTTCAAATGATTTTTCTCCATTTGCTCATGAGTTGAAGAGATTGAGATGATGAAGGCTAAGAACAGAACTGTAAAGTGGAAGCTGGAAAAGTGGGTTATGAAGTTGTACTCTCAATAGAGAACTATTCACAAAGCCCAGGGGCATTAGGGTCTCAGAGATAAGGTTGATCCAGTAATACCCTTTCCCCCCATTACAGCTTCATGTATTGTCAATTTATATAGCAAACAAATTACCTGTAATAATACATCATGGAGTATTTGTGCAAAATCATAAAACATCATTGAAACGATTCATGCTTGCTTGATTTGTTTCTTTTCTAAGAATAGTATTCAACGAATGTTATACTAAAAATCTTATTCTTTTCAGTTTTGAATGAATACTTGAGGTACTTTTAGGTTTAAGGCATCAGTCCTGACATAATTTGTTTTCATGAACGCATCAGTAATAATGGTTAAACTCTCTGTGAATTCATTGCCTCGTCTTCTTTCACACGTTCAAAGTGTGTCTAAAAATGTGCTCAAATAGAATATCAAATGAAATGCTCTCTGTGAACGCAGTATTTGAGTTTCAATTTTGCAGAGGTTTACAACAGGCACTTTAAAATCCCCATAATTGTTTGTCAGCATGCTTACCTTACGAAAGCAACTGAGAAGTGTTCATTTTGTTACTCTAAATCTTTTAAGCCTAAAAAGATATTATAGAAAAAGAGGTTTCTCTATATGTGATGTGCAGCTCTTTTCATGGAGATCAGCAAATCTATTTTACCATTCATTGTTTGTTATTGAACAGTAACTGTACTTTGTTGTCTTCTAAGCTCTCTGTACCTCGCCTCCCTTGAGATTAAAATACTGTAACGCATATTTCCCCGTTTGTTAATCCCTTTATCGTTATAAAGGAGGCAGAGGAAAGAAAGGGATTTTATCATAAAGAATGTGAGAAAGATTGTCATAGAAGCTTTCATGCTGTAATCTCCTCTGAAGCAGCTTTGGCTGCTCTCTTCACTCGCTCTTATCAAGTGTTTGTTTGTAGACTAGCGGGCTAATGATAATGTTTCTCATTTGTTAAGTATTATTAAAGAGAGGGCCTGCTTTGAGTTTGTGCCGTTGTTGAACCTAAACAGGTCTAATGTTTTATTTTGTTCAGTGGAGTGGAAGGTCTGAAAGTTCATGTTTTTTTTTTTGCTTAATTGTTGTCATTTGAGTGCTTACTTTCAGCAGATTATTGTGTGTAATTGTCCATATGGCGACAGGAAGTACATTAATTGGTGTGTTACTATAATCTCAAACTCTACTTGGACTCTTTTCCAGTAGCCTACGTACACTTAATCTTCAGATTAATCTTGGTCTGTATATGTTTCACAGGCTTCGGTCTGTATGAAACGGACTCGATTGAAAGATATTACTATAATGTTCTGTTATAAATTCGTATGAAATAAGATTTAAAGTCTATTTTCTAAATGCACATTATTGATCTTATTGTGAAGGATATCTTTTAAAAAAAAAATTTGACCTTGCAATATTTAATAAAAATACCATAACTCAATCTTCTGGTGAAATGACAGACTTTTCTCTGCTGATGTATGCTTGACTTTTCCTGTCATTTAGTCCTTTTAAACTCGGACTCTTTCTTACAACCAACTGTAAGCTTGCATTCA